ATTTTGGGAGGTTAATTGGAGATAAGAATCACACGGCTGGGAAGGTGGCTCAGTGGTAGAGCACTTGCCTTGCATGCAAAAAGAGGCTCTGGGTTCGATTCCTCAGCACCACATAAGCAAAAAGAAAAAAGCCGGAAGTGGTGCTGTGGCTCAAGTGGTAGAGCGCTAGCCTTGAGCTGAAGAGCTGAGGGACAGTGCTCAGGCCCAGAGTTCAGGCACCATGACTGGGTCCCCCCCCCCAAAAAAAAAAAAAGAATCACATGGACTTTCCTGACCAGGCTGGTTTTGAACCATGATTCTCAGATCTCAACTTCCTGAGTAACTGAAATTAGAGATATGAGCCACTGGTACCTGGCTTGAAACAATTGTTTAATTATTATCTTTAAGTAGCTGTTCAAATGAGTTTCTATTTAACAAAGCAATTAATGAGTAAAATGCATCTTGATCAATGTCACCCCTTTTAACATTCTCGTCCACCCCTCCCCTACTCACTCTTCTTAATTTTGTAGGATATACATTGAATTCTTCACTGCATTCTCCCCCAATTCTCTTCTTCATTCATCTACCCCTTTTGCCTTGACCCTGCCCCACCCCTTTTCAAGTACCTGCTTCCTGGCATTTATTTTGTTCGACTTTGACTTAACCACTTGAATATGCTCAGGGATGTTGTGGGCCAAGAATATGGCGAGGGTACAGTGGGAAGGACTTGTCTTTACCTCAAAATGCCTGAGGCCTGAGCTAAACAGGATGCAGAAACTGGGGGTGACTTAGAAGGGAGAACTTCGATGGGATGAATGTGTGTGTATTCTGAAATTCACATTTTGAAATGCTAAAACTCAATGTGATAGTATACTGAAGTACGAACCTTTTGGAAGTAATTAGGCTTAGAAGAGGCCATGAGAGTGGGGGCTCCTATAGTGGGATTAGTGGAAGTTGGAGGAGGAGGAGGGGGAGGAGGAGGAGGGGGAGGAGGAGGAGGAGGAGCAAGAAGAGGGGGAGGAGGAGGAGGAAGAAGAGGAGGAAGAGGGGGAGGAGGAGAAAAAAGGGAAAGGAAGCAGAGGGGAGGGAGAGGGGAGGGGGAAGGGAGGAGGAGGAAGGAGAAGAAGGAGGAAGGAGAAGGAGGAGGAGGAGGAGAAGGGGGAGGAGGAGGAGAAGGAGGAGGAGGAGGAGGAGGAATCCTTGTCTAAGAGGAATCTTTCCTCACATCTAATGCCTTGACTGGAGTTATCAACTCCATGAATTCCATGACCATGTATTTCCAACATGTGACTCTCCATGCAGCCTAGGTTTCCGCACAGCAAGGCAACTTGGAGCTTCAGGCATGCATATTAACATCAATAAGACATCAGCTTCATCATCTTTTCTGGCCTTCCCTCAGAAGTCACAATCTCACTCCCACACCATTTTATTAGTAACTTAAGAGTCAAACACCTGTGCAATTTCAGGGGGAGAAGATATAGGTGTCATCTCTTGAGATTAAAAAAAAAAAAGTCAAGCCTGTGGCTCACACCTATAATCTTAGCTACTCAGGAGGCTGAGATCTGAGGATCACAGTTTGAAGCCAGCCAAGGCAGGAAGGTCCTAGAGACTCTTATCTCCAATAAACCACTCAGAAAAAAAGTTCAAAGTGGCACCATGGCTCAAGTGGTAGAACACCAGTCTTGAGCACAAAGAGGCTCAGGGACCGAGCCTGGGCCCTGAGTTCAAGCCCTAGGACCAGAAAAGAAAAAAAGTAATTTGTAGCTTCCATTTTCTTTTAAACTATCTCATATCCATAGCCACAGGTTCTGCTATAACTTCAAAATATTCAAGCTCTGGCCTAAATTAGTATGTCCAATTTGTATATGCAATCACTACTACCACTAATGAAAATAACAGCATGTGATTCTAGGTATTTGTATGTGCTAGGCACAGTTCTAGATATTTGGGACTTAATTTACCTGCTTAACTTCAGTCACTCTTTGCCCATTTTTAACATTTCCTAAATTACTTATAAATAACATGTAATATTCATTCATGTTTAAAGAGTGCCATATGATGTCATAGTATATATTTATAATGTGAAATAGTCAAATCCATATCCATCATCTCAAGTACTTATCTTTGGGAGTCTCAATGTCTCATAAAATGAGGAGGCAGGGAGTATATCTGTCACCCTAGCTACACGGTAAGTGGAGATAGGAGGATCATAATGTTAGACCAGTCCTGAGCAAAATCAGAAGACAATACCTGAAAAATACCTAAAAGGTAAGATTAGGGTGTAGAGCAATTTGTAGAGTACCTACCTATCAAGCTCAAGGCCTGGAGTAAAAACCCCAATACCACCAAAAAGAGGCAAATGGTGGAGGAGAGGAGAAGATAGAAAAGAAATGAAAGAGCCATACAGTAAAAAAAAATTCTTCTTAGACCAGTACCCAAACCAAAGCAAGACTCTCCGGAGTCCACAGGATTCAGCCAATGTCTGTACCATGGGCAATCCCTGGAAAACACCTGCTCTCACTCCCTCCTTGACAGTTACCTCTGAGAACCCTCCCACTGAGCTCCCTGAATTTAGGGTGTAGGAAAACCACTCATTTTGTATCCCTGACTTTTTTTTAATCTCTGTAACCCTAAAGAACCCATCAAGTATATTGAAATATATTGAGGTTGTATAGATTTTGCCTAAATCTAAATGCTAAAATACCCAGCAAACCGATGAAAAAAAGAGAATCATTTAACCAACTAGAGAACCAGTTTTGTTCATTTTATAACAATTGAGATGACAATTATGGGATATCAAATAACTTGTCTATTTTTTTCCTGAATGGATGTGTGTGTGTGTGTGTGTGTGTGTGTGTACCAGGCAGACATAGCCAGACAAGGATTGACAAAGGAAATCTGTTTTGCAATTATATAGCCAGTGCAACAAGGCAAAATTAAAAGAATACAATTCTCCACACTGGAAATTGACTGGAGCTCAAAAAACACCTCAGGAATCTCCCAATACTCTTACAATCATAGCAGACCCATCTTGGTTCACTGATTTACAGTTTCCCAGACTGGACCACTTTGTTTACAGCTTCCTGAATCCCCTTTCTCCTTCCTCTTTCAGACTTTAAAATGCATCCAAACAGCCTGCTCTATTCAGAGTGTGTTGCAGCTCTCCCCTGGTCCAAGATGGCTCTGTTCTATTGGGCATGAATTCTAAACTTTCATTCCTGGGTTTTCAAAGCATGTCCCTCATCCTTACCCCCTCCTTGGGAATCAAAGCATCCTGACTCATCGCACCAGAAATACTTGATTGCACATGAGAGGACCCAAGGACACTACCCAGAGAGTCTCTTGACCTTTACTCCTAATCATAGCAGCAATCTGAATGGCTCCTGAGGATGAACTATGACCACATGTGTGAGGCAGTCTGGTGGCCCACCAGGCACTGTGGCAATTCATCCCTTCCCTTCTCCCAGGGGTTTTCTCCTGTGCCAGGGGCCTGTGAGTCCTTTTCATTCACACTTTTTGGGCATGCTCACTGTGGCTGCAGCTTCCACACAGAGCAGCTTCAGTTCCTAGGCCACTGTTGCCCCACCTCCCACAGGTAGAGACCAATGGGAGGAAGATGACACTTGCTTAACTCAAAACGATTTAAATTTATATCTTTAATACATCGCTGTGCCTGCTAGTCCCTCATGCCTGTAATGTTACCTACTCATGAGGTTGAAATCTGAGGATGCCAGTTTGAAACCAGCCCAGGATTTTAAAAAATGTTTTTTAAGTCTCTGATATTCTTACCACCAACTAACCAGCAAAACGTCCGAAATGAATGTGTGACTCAAGTGGTAGAGTGCCAGCCTTGAGTGAAAAAGCCAAGCAAAAGCAGAAGTACACACACACATGCACTCACTTGAATTTATTTATGTGTACAAATATAAGTGTAAATCATAGATTCCTACAAATATGTATGCACATGTACATATATTTTTTATTTTTTATATTGGTATATTTATTTATTTTTGCTAGTCCTGGGGCTTGAACTCAGAGCTTCTTTTGTTCTAGGACAGCACTCTACCACTTGAGCCACAGCACCACTTCCAGCTTTTTCTGAGTAGTTTATTGGTGACATGGGTCTCAGAGACTTTTCTACCCAGGCGGGCTTTGAGGGTGATCCTCAGATCTCAGCCTCCTGAGTAGCTAGGATTACAGGCGTGAGCTACCAGTGCTGGACTCACACACACACACACACACACACACACACACACACACACACACACGTTCGTTTGTCAGTCGTGGAGCCTGAACTCTGGGCCTGGTCACTGTCCCCCAGGTCTTCAGTTCAAGGCTAGCACTCTACCACTTGAGCCACAGCGCCACTTCCGGCTTTTTCTGCTTATGTGGTGCTGAGGAATCGAACCCAGGGCCTCATGCATGCAAAGCAAGCACTCTACCACTGAGCCACCTTCCTAGCCCCTACACATATATTCTAACGGCAGAAAGGCTTGCTATTTGTTGAGCGCCTTTCCTGTGCCAGATACTCTGCAGATGCAGCTCATTTAATTCTCACATAACTCTCGCAGGATCCTATGAAACAAATACAATGATCACTCCGATTTGCACAGAGGAGGAAGCGAAGTTGTCAGGACTTTCAGTGACTTCACCCAAGCCGCACAGCCAGTGAGTGAAGATCAGCACACTCAAACCCAGATCCTAACCACACGCGGTGCGCCAGGGAAAGCGTGCAACCTGTATGGCTTGATGGCTTTTCCACTTCCAACAAAGTGCTCTGCCGAGATGGGGGGAGAGGATACACAGGACAGGTGTAACTTTAAGGGGATGATGGAGGCTGTAACCCGAAGCCTCCTCCTGCGCGGCCCGGGGTGGCTGCTCCCCGGGGCCCGGCGCCTCTCCCACTTCCAAAGTTGGAGCTCTCCTGGGCGGGCGGGGCGGGGCGGGGCGGTGACGTCCTCGGCCGCGGGAATAAAGCTGGCGGGCCGCCCCCCAGCGCCGGGACGCGGTGCGGCGGAGGGGGCTGGCCCGTCGGGGACCCTGGCGGTGTGCTGCGCCTCCCCTCGCTGCGCCCTCACCTGTGGAAGGTCGCCCCACAAAAGGCACCATGCCCCAGAACGTGATCCTCCCGGGCCCTGCGCCCTGGGGCTTCAGACTCTCGGGGGGCATAGACTTCAACCAGCCTTTGGTCATCACCAGGGTAGGTGTTCTCCGTTCTTAACTGTTTGTGCAAGCGCCGGATTGTGGGGTCCCCGGGAAGGCGCAGCGAGCGCCTCTGGATGGCAGAGTGCGCCTGGGAAGGGGAGGAGGGCGGACCCCGGGTGGGGAGGGGCGGGACGGTTCACCTGGGGGTCCCGGGCTGCTGGCTCCCAGCTGGGCAGCAACCACTGGGTAAGTTGAGGTTTGAAGAATGCAACGCCAGTTCTGGGGTGTCACTAAGTCAGCCCCAAAGTCCTGCCCACTCTTGGTCCCTGGCAACTTTCTGAGAAGTCAACTGACATTGCTATTTCCCTGGGTTCCAAGAAGCTGGAAAGGTCAGGGTGCCTCGGCACTCCCTGCACCCCATCTTCTTCTGGGAACAAAGAGATGGGGTGCCCCGTGGGAGGGGTGAAGGCCCGACTACTGCGAGGTTCTGGTCTGGGTGAAAACTCGAGCACCAGGCTGTTCTGAGGATGCAACCTGAGTTGGCCAAGTTGGCACAGCCCATATCACTTCAGACGGGGAAAATATTACTAATGTGTATTCCTGGGTTTCTAGGCATTTAGAATAAATATTTTTCCAAAACTGAGAACTTGGCTGAAGAATCGTTACCTATAATTCAAACTACAAAGAAAACTTTAGATTGTTTACCGGAGAGCAAGTACCACAGAGGAGTAACTCTTTAAAAAACAAAAAACTTTAATATCAAAGTCAAACTTTTCCTTCATGTTGTCTGAAGCTCTGCCCAATGAGAAAAGAATTTTAAAAGTTAAAAACTTTTGTGTCCCGTCAGAAAACTTCTAGAATTAATTCTAAAGCATTATTTGGTCTGGTTGATATTTTTCTAACATGAATTTTTTGGTTTTTTTAAGAAATAGAAATATTATCATTTGAGCTCTCACGTATAAAGCATTTTAAGGTTAATTTAAAGGCATAAACTTCTGGAGTGTCGTACTTTTGGAAAATTTTTTCCTACTGCTTATGCCCTATTTTATAAATGTGTGCTTCATAATCTGATCACTTACAGATTTTAACAAGGATATACCTTTTTCATTCTGTTCTATTTACATTTGTTTATGACATTTGGGAACCAGTGTTCTTTGTAAAATGTCTTAAAACACTTATCATCCAGATGCATACAGTGGATCATTTTAAGCTTTGTTTTACATTTTTCAAAAACATATAAACACATTTGACATATGTTTTTATATCAGACATGAAAACTTAACATACCCCCCAAATCGTTCTTAAGTAAACTAAGCAGAACATGCTTCTGTGATCTGGGCCAAGCAATTCCTTTTATAGATGTCCCAAAGAAAACAGTCACCATTAACTCTGCTAAGAAATATGTTTCGTTTATGGAGTACTGCCTTCATTTGCTTATATTAAATGAAATAAGCTCTTGAATCATAACAAAGAATAAATCATATGTAGATTAAATCCAAAAGAAATAATTATGTCAGGAAAACATTTTAGGGAATTTGTAAAAGAAATATTTTGCTATTACATGTAACATGTCTGTATGATGGTATGCTTGAATTTTTGAGTTGTTGATGTCATAAACAATGTTTACCTCTGCAGATAGACTACAAAAGCTATTGTTAATGATCCTTATTATCTGAAAAACCAATTCTGTCTTGTATTTCTAACTCTTACCTAGTTTGTGCCCCAAAATTTGATACTTGATTTATTAACAGTGCATGACTAGACATGATTATTTTGTTGGAGTCTGGTTTTTGTTTTCCAATTATTTTTTACCTCCAGGACATCAGGTTCAACTAAAGTGTTCATGTCCCATGCATGCCTAAAACCATGCATATGGTGGATTTATGTTGAATAAATGAAGGCGTGTTCTCTTGGCCATGTATTCCTTGGTGAATACCTACTTAAGAATACTTGCATTGAAACTATAAGCGCATTCAGAATCATTTGGGGTGGGGGGAGTCCTAAGATGTATTATTTTAAAACAACCCATGTGGCTATTACACTTATTTGATAACTTTTATATTGTTTTAGAAAGTGGCAAATAAGGTTATGTATGTGTTGTTATATGCTTGAGCTTGCTGTGTGTTTTTCTCAGCCCTTTATATTCATAACTCACTTCAGACTCACAATGATCCTATGCGAGGAGAGTAGTAGATTTGCCTTTTGAAGGTGAGAAGTATGAATCTTTAAGAGGTCATTAGCCTACCAGTAATTACATGGATTGGATACCATGTCAACCTGCTCCCAAGCCTGCCTTCTGTCATTTCCACAAGCGGGGGGAAAAAATCCCACTTACCACTCAGATATTTCTGAACAGGTGTTTTATACCATCCATTGTGACAAGGTCCCATCAAGTCTACTTTCAAAATCTGCTATTTCCCATTTTTAACCACCCTGATTATTCAAAATTCCCTGAGTTCACACCCAGAGATCTGTCTCCTCTCTTCAATTCACCCTGCATATCTTTATCATTCATCTTTGAAATACAAATTTTGCCCATCGCTCCCAGTTTTTAATTAAATTTGTGTTCTTTTGCAGGGCATTTACAACTTTTCATCCTCATTTCCAACTTTCTTTCTTTCCCTCAATCTTCCTTTTCTCTCCCTTTCACCTCTTTCACTCCATGCTGCTGTTCTGGGCTGCTTAAATGTCCTTCGCATGTCTTTGCTTCTAAGATGCATCCCTATCCCCAGAATTATTTTGCTCACCACAGCCCCACTTCCTCTTTGTCTATGGAAAGGCATTCAAGCATCAGTCCCCGAGCCTTCTTCTAGTAATAGTCATCTCATCAGTTGATGGGCTCTTCCCTCTCCTATTGTCATGCCTGTTCCACAGATGTTTAAACATATCAAGGTCCTGCCAGATTGTCTACTCACAGAGAGCAGAAACTTTCTGCTTTGTGATGTGCCGTGTGATGCCTAGTATAGTGGCTAGTACATCATGAATACAGACAATATGATTGACCGACTAAACTGGTCACTTTTTGTGTAATTTTATATGCCAAAGATATTCCATCATAAGAATCAAGGAAAGTAAGTTTGTTAGTTGTCTATTTTAGAAAATCATAGAAAGAAATGAAATGCCAGTGTTCATACTTAACGTTAAAGAAATCCATGAGATGTATTTCTTGAAGTCATTTTTTGTTCTCTAAGCTACTCCTGTCCTCTTCTTTTCTCCTGTGCTGCTCTCTTCTCTTCTCTCTTCTCTTTTCCTGCCTTACACTATGCCAATGCACACATTAATTGGTCCCCAATTAACAATAGTGCTACTTCCTAAAGATATGAAAGTCACAATGCATCAATCCCATACTTGGGATTTTGAGTTTGGGTTGTTTCCTGGGTTAGAATAAATGCTATGCTAATCTGTCTTGGTGCTATGCTCAGTCATGAGAGTAACAACAAAAACTTCATGTTGTACTACACTGCTATAGTATATAATGGTCAATAGATAAGGCCTACTAAATGTACTTCAACTTAACAATATTTTAGGCTGCATAAAGAACTTGGTGTTTCTCGGGACATAACTTCATTAGAGACCAAAGGGTATCTGAATATCAATGCCCCTAGATAATGAGGCTCTGTCCAGAGTTTGTAGGAAAGTGACAAGTGTAACTCTCTCCATAAACTTGAAATAGCAGTTCACAAAATTGAGACAGTCTCTGCTTCTTAACAACTCACAAACCAATTAACCAGTGGAGTGAATCTTTATATCATTTAAAAAACACATATATCAGGCCAAGCATGGTGGGACATGTCTGCTATCCAAGACACTCAGGAGGCAGAGAGAGTAGAGTCATGTTTCAAAGGTGAGTTCCAACAAAAAGTTAACACAGCATCTGAAAACAAAACAAAACAAAAAGCTAAAAGCAAAAGGGATTAGGACATGGCTCAAGTGATAGAATGCTTAGGCAAGCATTGTATCTAATGGAAAAACCTGAGGTCAATCCGTGGAGTATATGAATGCACTACACACACACACACCAAAAGGCAGATAAAGCCTGGTACCAGTGGCTCACACATCTAATCCTAGCTATGAAGTTGAGATCTGAAGGATCATGGTTCAAAGCCAGCCTTGGCAGAAATGTCAGTAAGATTCCATCTCCAAAATAACTAGCAAAAATCTTGGATGGGGCATTACTTAAGCAGTACAACACCACTAGTTCCAAGTTCAAACCCCAGTACCAGCAAAAGGGGGCAGGCCGGGGGCAGGGTGGGGAAACATCGACAGAGGTAAGTCTACAAGAGTCACCAGCAGTTTCTAGACCAGTGTACCATATACTTTGTGCAAGATAAAATTTAAGTTTGGGATGTTCAGTTTAAGGGAGGAAGTGGTCTTTCAAACACTGTCTATAATTGGCCTAAGTAGTTCATAGAATAGTGTTGAAGATTTACATCTCCCAGTGAGCTTCTTCTATTTTTCTTGCAAGATGATGCTAAGGAGTCTCTCTCTGAGGTTCTTAAACCATCTAGAAACCATCTACTCACACAAACAAGTTATATATTATTTACTTTGCATGACAAAGTGAGTCCTGATGACAGTGTGCCTTTCTTACCAAATTCTTCTTCCTCCCTTCACTCAGCCCCTCTTCTTCTCAGAGCATAAGATCATTGTAACAGGCAAGGCCAAGATGGTCCTGAGTATCAACAGAGCCACTGTTAATGTGTTCTGTATTTTTGCAGGTTTTAACACAGAAAAAAGCATAGCAATGTAAACTATATTTGAAATTTGAACTTTTAGAAAGGAATGTTTCTTTTGAAATCAATCCTTTTTCCCGGTTAAAGCAAATGTAGTAGCAGGGTTGATATGAAATTTAAAAAAAACCTATACAATTCATGCTAGTAAAGATTATTTCCATGTGGAAACACTGGTTTATATATTCACGATATTCATATTTCCAAAATATCTATTATATGTATACAATAACAGATGTGGAAGACCCTATGTGGACACAATCATAATTTAGAAAGATTTCTGTTCTCTGCCTGAGAAGCTCATACTTCAAGTGGAAAAGGTAGG